ATCTGGACAACCAAGTGGCCGAGTACTGTGGGTGACTGCCATCTGTCTAGTATCCCACCTCTACAACAACGTGGGCTTAAACCACTAGTACCTCCGCCAGTGTTGGGAAATTACGAGGTTTTGCCAGTTCCTGAAGAAATCGGGGGTGGGACACAGGGTCGGCAGTGTCGCATAAATCTGAATTTTATAGTGCCGCGAGTAAAAGGAAAAAGGGAAAAAAAAAAAAAATTCTCTATTGCAATGATGTCAGGCAGGGTAGTCCAGGACGCCGTGCTCACAATCTTCCTCCTCAGAATGCACCTTACAGGTAAGGCGGTCACATTCTGAATGTTACTGTTTTCTTTTTTCTCTTGGTCGTGTGTTTCTTATGAGTCCCCTGTCCGTGAATTGCTCAAGCTGTGTTTTGTCAGAGGATTGTAAGACTCATCACACTGGCAATTAGGGGAATGCATCCAACCATTTTCACGGTCGGATCCATATGCCCGTTTCCCCCCCCTTCTATTCCCTTTTTGGAATCTGACAACCTGGCCATGGGGCTGAGATGCCCTCATTGAGGGCACACTCACACTACCACTTCCAATAATGTATACAACTGCAATCACGGCCAAAGCCTTGTTTACTTTTTTTTTCCTTCTTCTTTTCTGAGGTTCACGACCGTAACTTTTCTGCTTTTTTTTTTTTGTTGTTGTTCTTTCCGTGAGAGTACCAGAAAGAAAACGGAGTCGTACCCAGACTCGGCAAACTCAGAGCGCAGTGAAATTCAGGGTCGGCAAAAAAAAAAAAAAAAAATCCCCTTTTTTTTTTGTGCTGACTGCAATTATAAAAAAAAAGCCTCAACAGTTGGCCCCAGGTAATTCAGAAAGACTTATTCTGGTCATCTTTGTCGCCCGGATTTGAACTTGGGTCTGTATTTTAACAAATGATGGGTGTAGAAATTGAGCTAAGCTGATTGGTTCTGGCTGCAATTACGGCAAGAATGAGCCCATGCTTTCCCTTTTTTTCGCCCTCCCCCCTTTTGAAAGTATCTTTCACCGCGGAGCGTGCGCCTGTTTTTTTTTTTTTTTTTTTTTTTTGAAAAATAGGGGGGGGGGTGGGGGGGGGCTGATAAGAGCAGTCATCCCCTCTACACCCTCGATAGTGGATGGCTTCGTTCCATTGGTGGGGAGCTGCACCTGCTGGAAGCCGGGTCCAACGTCCCTTCACATCAAAACCCAGGAACCAACTTTATTAAATCAGTTGCCATTGTTCAGTTTTCGAGGCCAAGTATCATGCCTCCCCCCCCAGTTGAACTCATGGGCTCTATTGCCAATGTTGCCGGGAACCTTTCTGTTATTGCCCTTCCATTGTGGTGTCCGGGCTCCTTCTGCCGTTGTGACGCCCAACCTCACGCCTAGCGTGACTTCCTGTTTCGGAGTGATGGTGGGCCTCGAAGTGCGAAAAAGGGGTGTGCCAAGGATTTTAGGAAAATGGGGGTGGACTCCCATATCGGAACTGAGATCTCCTGCGTCAAGTCCCAAGGATATGAATGCAAGCGAGTGGGCGACGGGCGAGGGTTCTGTTTTAGTAAGCCTCGTGGAATGGGGCGGTCACCTCCGTTGGTCCCGTCGCTTGGGACGGATTCGTATTCTGTGTACTGGCAAGACGCTATGGCTGTCCCGCTGGTACAACACCCATCGTCGGCGGGTTTCGCAGATCTCAGAATCGGACCTGTCTGCCTTGGCCGCAGGCTGTGCTCCCGTTGTTCGGCTTCCGAGCGGGTTCGCCGGATAAATCCCGATGCTCGGTAGGCGTGGTCTAGCAGGCACTCGAAACACAGTGGTTGTGGCCAATAGCGGGCGGGGGCACGCCAAGGGGCAATGGTCAAGCAGTGAAAGGGCAATGGACGGTGATAGGGAGGGAACTTTGTTACAAGGATAACAATCCCAGGCTCAGCGATGATCTGGCACGTGTACGAGCTGAGATAGTTGGGGAAATGGGGAATACGTTCTAAGGCCCGCCCAATATCCCACTTGCAGATACGCTCAGTTCCTATTGTGTACGGAAACTTTGGGAGCTCTGTTCTTGATCGTGCAGAGAAACATGCACGTTCCCAATACTCTCCGAACTCACGGTCCCTCTGACACTCAAGGTCGGTGATCCGGAAGGGAGTCTCGATATTCATGTTGCGTGGTGGGGTGGGAATCCATACATTCGGGTGCTCAGCAGACAGTCGCATCGGGGGCAGATCCTATAGACATGGGTGTACGCGATGACTTTACTCAGTCGGTCGTATACGTGTGTGTACAAGATCTTCCTTCAACATGCTGGGAATTCTCACAATTTTTAGTACATATACATCGACCTGTTGGAAAAGAGTTGTCGCTGGTGAGATCAAAGTGAGACAATCATCCAATCAATCGACATGCTTATCCATATTACAAGAAGGAAAAAGGCGAGGAAACAACAAGCACTCATGCATCAAAACATCCAGTCACTCACATCATACCATTTCTGGAACTAACCAGAGAACATACGTAGATCGAGTGTGGGCAATCAATTGACCGAATCGACAACTAATTAGAAGGAGGAAGGACCAGGGGAGGGATAGATCCAACCATTCATCAACTTGGAGAAAAGAGAAACCCAAGACAACCACGAACAAAAAGATGGTTTGCGCCAGGCATCAAAATTGCGCAAAAGAGTCAGAAACACCAGTCCAACACATCCCGTTCTCGTTCTCGTTCTCTCTCTCTCTCTCTCTCTCTCTCTCTCTCTCTCTCTCTCTCTCTCTCACACACACACACACACACACACACACACACACTCTCTCTCTCACACACACACACTCTCCACCACCCCAATGCGGGCAGCTCGTTGCCTCGCACCTACTACTCACACAGAGTTGTCACCCCGCTTAGTCTAAACATGCAAGCCAGGTTCGCCCTTGTGCCAAAGTCCTTCGCAGCCACACGTCAACCCCGCATACCCAGCACCAGCCTGTCGGATCGCCCAACTCCCTACTCACCATCTTGCTCCTGCCTGTTAGTCGATCCTCTCGACCACACTAACTTCAAAGTTGATTAGAGAGCGAGTCAATCGCGCCTGCGGGATTTATAGCCTGAGCATCCACGTAAAATAACCGGGATTGTGCCTGAGTGGGAGGGAAGATGAAGGGAGGAAGGCCGCGGCGTGGGGGACATAGCCACTCTCCATGCATCGATCCAGTCATGCACTGTTCAGGCCAATAAGGTCGAGGAAAGCATACGTGCGCGGGGCTGTGAAACCGCGCGCGGTCTGGGCTCAAGTTTTTGAGCGCCGCTCAATCCCACGCTCGAAGCGGCTCGAGCGGGGTTTGAGCGGGCGCGGGAATATTGTTTTCTCCAGTAAACGATACGCAAAAAAAAATAAAAAAATATAGGGTTATAGATCTTTTTGAGATCTACAACCCGGTATTTTTTATTTTATTTTTTGAAGTTTGGCTATATTTAAAAAAAAATATCAAAAACATGAAAATAAAGAAAAAAAAAAAAAAAAAAGATAAAATGGATGTTTTTTTTTTTTTTTTCATAGAGATTGTTTCGCAGGCAAACAATAAAGTTGAATAAACAAAAAAAAAAATAAAAAAATATAAGGTTATAGATCTTTTGGATATCTACAACCCCTTTTTTTTTTTATTAAACATAAAAAGCAGAAAAAACAAGACACACACACATAAACAACCCCCCCAACCGCCCAACCTCCCCCCCCCACAAAAAAACACCCCCACCCACCTATTCATTTTTTCCACACAACCCCCCCTATCGCATCCTCTGGGGCTACGTCCCACTACAGACGTTTTACCATGCGGACGTTTGGTTTCCGATCACGTGTGGCAAAAGGTGACACATAACGACCGCCCAACTTCGAGGATCTGAACGGCGGACAAGATTTGGAGGTGTCCCGACCAATATCTTTATGTCTCCCCCAATGAGAGCTTCAAACTTTTGATTCTTTCACCATTTTCTTTCATTCATAGGCCGGCGACGAGGACGCAATATTATGGAGGTCGTGAGGTGGGGGTAATATTGCATCGATCCGGCCCTCGGAAAAATAAGGAAAATTGGGAGAAAGGGTCCGTGCTTCATTCCGAAAACGAATAAATGTTGCCTCTGACAGTTGTCGGGCCGCGGATAACGGCGCGTCCGTGGCCGTCGGGCACATAAATGTAGACCTACGTATTAGGCCTCACATGGAGGGTACGTGCATGGTGTGGTGTCTCTCTCGCCCCGAGAAACAGACCACATACATGTAGACACTGTTTTTTTTTTGACATTCACGCTTACCCTCCTTCCCAATGAGGAAAGTCCACAAGACATGTGGAAACGTTCGGGATCCGAGGCCGATACTTTGGCCTTTTCCATTACGAATGCCTTGCGCACCGCCCTCCCAAAGTCGGTTCTTTGACGGCCCGTTGCTCATACTCCACCGTTATGTTCTCGTGAACGTCCCGATGCTGTTTGGTGTTCTGCGTTCCTCGTCCGCCATCACCTCACCGTATGTCTTCCTCGCACGGTCATTACACTCCACTGCTGAATCTCTCAGTGCTTATGGCCTCTTCCAATGATCCCGCGGGACTCTCCTGCATACAGGACTGGGGGTATACGGAGTCCCAGTACGGAACACAGGGACCAGACAATGGACCGCTTGGGCCGCCTGCGGGTGGACAAGCAGGAATGCACACGCAGCTTCCCTATGCTTCTCGCAGGGACCGTGGGTCCTTGAACGGGACAGGGAGCGAAACCCAGTGGCCCTTGGAAGACAGTGTGGGTACATAAGTCCCGACTTCACGGCCTTTGGGGACACTTGGACAAGTGGGCACGCCTGTGGGGAGTGGGGTTCCATCATCGGACCCCACTTTGTCACAGGTTTCAGAACCTCGTGATGTCACGGGCAGGGTGACACATGTCCCACAAAGTGATTGTGGGCCACCCTTACCTGGCTTCAWCACACCGATTCAGCCCATTGGTGGTTTCTCTTTCGGGGTCGGTCGTGAAGATGAGGACATTTTGTGGGAGCGTCTAAGGAGGTGTGCCATTGCAATGGTGGAAGGGCAACCATCTACCGCACATTGTGCACAACGTTTGTCTTTCCACTCTGACGGAGCTCCGAGTGACGACTGTCGTGCTGCGTCTTCTGGTTTGTCACCCATCACCTCTGTGAACCACGTTTCCAGTGCTTCTCGGACGCAGAGGGGGGGGGCTGCCACCACACGACCTCTGTCAGACGTGGGCATCGGAGGACGTGGGTCGTCGTCATCTCCGGTCCCTCATGGCAGTCCGCATACCCCTAGCATGGCATCTCGACATCATGTGCCATCAGAGTACTTGATCAACCGGCTAATTCGGGACATTAAGGATGGCGTTTCCCCCTCTCCAGTTGCTGCAGACACTGCAGCGGCCTTCGCAGTCGGTGGCAATGCAGCTGCCCCTGCACGAACACCTCCTCGCCAATCTGTTGATCCGACGCCTGTGAATCGCACACCCACCCGGGGCGGTGGCCGCGGTGAATGTAGCCAAAGCCCTTCGGGTGCAGTCCGTGAGGTGGGGACTTCTCCTGCTGCAGGTCCTCAGGGACAACAAGGTCGGGCGTTGGCACTTGAAAAGAATAAGGACCGTTGGGGGGAGGATGAGACTGCGTGGTTGTGCCGGTTCCGCAATGAGGTGAAGTTGCAGATGAATGAGGATACAGAGGCATACGGACGGGCATGGTTGAAGGCAAACTTCTGGAAGAACGTGGAGCTGCGTATGAAGGAGAAGGGTTACAATCGCGATCACGAGCAGTGCAAGAACAAGTTCAACCAAGTCATAGAGTACTACCGCAGACTGAAGTGCCATGAGCGATGGTCCAGATTGCCGAGCTATTGGGACATGAACAGCACGGAAAAGAAGAAATACAATGTCGATTTCGTACTACGTCGAAGTTGGTATGACATCATAGACTCCGTTGAGAAGGACACAGACTCTATAAACCTCACGTATTTGAGGGACAGCGGTGACGACCCTCGGCGGCATACGGAGACTGACGACATGGCGGATGCGGATGGACAGACGGAGGGGGTGAGCGATGACCTTGGCAGAGGAAGTGGAGCTGCATCCGGCGGGACACGATCGACAACTTTCGAATCCACGCTCGGGAAGCGGAAAAGAGCGGTTTCGAATGCGCGTGAGGCCAGCGTGCAAGCGGTGACAAGCGCAATGCGTGACCACACGACTTCGCTCACACGATCCGATCGAGAGTGCGCGAAGATGCGCTGTGAAACCACTCCTGATGTGAAAAAGCAACAGGCTGAACTGGCTACACAGCTCATGCAGCAGGAATTAGCTGGGCGTGAGAGGGTGGCCAGCATTGTCGGGGGTAGGGTCGAGAGTGGAATGAACCGCCTGGCAGATGCCATTGTAATGAATGGAATGAACCGCCTGGCAGATGCCATTGTAATGATGGCATCCCGAAGGAGGAGTCATTCGCCTAATGATCCCACTCGTGATGACTCTGAGTAAGGT